TTTAACTCTGTTTTAATGATTCTTTTGGTGAAATTTTTGGGATTACTGGACTTTGGCATTATACATTGATCCGGTATGTATCAAAATAAATAAATACCTTGTGAGGAAAGAATTAATAGCGCGAATTAAATAATTTAGCGTGGCCGTAACTTTGCGCGGCCATCATCCCTTGCCGCGTGTAAGTAAATCTTTCGGCCTAATATTAGAACTCTCGGCAAATAATTAAGTGTCCCGGCAGTGCCGTCGTGCGACCTTGTTTTATCCTTTTGCGATACCGAAATGGAAATTCCATTTATTAACGCGACCGGCGCGACTAAAAGGGAACAGCAATTTGGAGCTACACGAACGGCCCACCTACTTGCTTCATACTTCAGCCCGTTAATCAATTAGCGGATTTCTTGATAAACGACCAAAGAAACCGAACAACAAGACAAATTTGATCGTGTTTTTGTTTTTTATTTTTTTTAATGAACATTTGGCGTAAACGATTACTTATGAGTACTGTATTCGACCAACATGGATGCTAATAAGCGATGTTTTAATGGAAATTTAAAGTAGGTAACAATATTTAACGAAACAAGAACGGTTAGACACGACTAAATATCGTGAATAAGTTCCATCAGGTATTTGTTTTATTTAATATTTATATGAGGATAAGTAGGTTTTCTTTCATACAGGTCAAAGAAGGTTAGGGAGCTCCGACAGAACGTAAGTCTAAAATGTAGCACTGTACTACAGATGGCGTTTACAACGCCATATGTTGTATTTTCTAAAACGCACTGTTAAGGCAGCAGGTAAAAGTTGGTCTGTGTTCTGTCGGGCTGCCTGCGACGCGCTGATGAGATCCAAACCGAACCATTTAAATGGACCTTGCTGAAGCATACGTAATCCTAAAATGTAGCACTGTACTACAGATGGCGTTTACAACGCCATTTGTCGTATTTTCTAAGGTTAGGGAGTTTTAAATTATTTTATTGTCCAAAAAATATTTAGGAAAACTTTACGATATTTTATAATTTAGTCATACGTTAGAATGTTTTTGACCTGTTATTATTTACGAATCAAATAAAAATTTAGGATAATCCGGAAAAACAACAAAAAAAAATGAGAACATATCGAAAAGAAATTCTCACAATTGTCTCCAAACCCGCGCCCTTTTCCCACACCTTCGTACAAAAAAAAATTAGGCAACTCGTACGTCCGCTGTTGGGTGCGTAGCAGGTGCACGACAGTGATCAATCCTTTTCGGGCCAAGGGGCACTTTAACGAAAGAGTTTTCTGGGTCTAGACCTTCTGTTCTTGCCGTTGAAACTGTAGCACACATGACAGAAGGAACGATAAAACTCGTTATTCTTTAGAGGGCCGTTCTTTTTCCCCTGTGGGGTTGCTTTTAGACTCGGTTCCATTTTTTCTTGTTCTCTAACGAAAAGTGCGGATTAACGGGTTCACATGTGGCTGTTATTTGTTCTCTGATGGGAAACATTCTCCCCGGATAATTGATGATATCTTCTTCGAGGAGGTATCCTTCGGCCAGTAATTGATAACAAACCACCAACGTTGTAACAACTGAATAAAGAAGATTAGTCGGGATTTTTATTGCTTATAATATTTATGGTATAACATGGGTATTACTAAAACGAACCGTCATAATTTAATGTAATAATTCTGAAAAGATTTTAAATTGGGGTCATGGCGAAATAAAAATAGAGCGTGCCATTCCCATTCATATCCATATTATTTACTATGATGACTTCATTAATTTCTGTCTCTAAATTCTAGGTTAGAAGCCAATAGCTAGTCGATTTTATCCTATATTGAACTACTGTGATGATGAGTCGGGTATCCGGTTTGGATCCGGTACCCGGCGGATCTGGCACTTTTTTAAGGATCTTGCCGGGTACAGGATAATGACGCCAGGTATTCTACCAGAAAAAAAAAAGAAAAGCAAACATAATAAGTAAAACAAAAAGTCTACCTAATGAAAATCGGTAATTAATATTGTATTGGGAAAGGTCGTTTGTCCTAATTTGTATTATTTATTGATTACTGTACTTCTACTCGTGAACAAGAATAAGTACATCAGTATAGCCAAATTGTTGCAATTTTTCTTGCTTGTTCGTATATCAAGTTTTGATTATGGATCATCATCATTATAAGATTGTCAGTCCTAAGACTGGTTGGATACGCACCTCCACTCTTTCCTACCCTGAGTTAACCTTCACATTTCCCTAAGACTAGAATATACCACATCCTTAACTATTTACGAACAGTAATTTGATTTAGGTCTACCTCTACCCCTCCTAACTCCTGTTTCTGCCTCTAAAATGTCTTGAATGACCTTTAATGTTTATAAACATTCTATAAACTCGTTTCAATAATTTCAAATCATCTTTCTGGTTGAAAATCCGCCAACCAGAAATTAAAATGTCAATAGTTTGGTGTTTAAACGACTTTAAACGAGACGTGATGTGGTTTGGGACATTCCGCTGGCGAGGGTAGTATTTAATGGAAAGCCTGCTAGAATGAAGACATGAACCATAACCGTAGTGGTACCCGACAAAATCACTATCCGGTGCCGTACTGCTTCTATTATTCATTATTTTATTCGAGCACCTATTTTCAAAAGGGTTCCACTATTTGGCGTTACGAAACGGAGCCCTAATGTTGCAAGAAGTGAACGTTTGTTTTTTAAAGTTCTGCATAAACATTCACAGACTGAGAAATTAAAAGTCTCGAATATGCTGTATATTTTTATAATTAATTAGTACTTCCGGGTACGCTCAACTTCACAACGACATCAGAACGAGACAGGACACAACAAATAAATTGTGCAATGGGCGTAAAGAAGTCTCGGAAAAAGAGCTCATTAAAAATTAAAACAAACGTTCGCGAGCCTTGTCCTTCGTCGACCGACGTGATTTGGTAAGCTTCAATTGCCCCCGAAAATGCGGAGGATCGAACGGCAATGTTATAATTAAACGGACCCAAGCCGCCTGTGATCTCGGCGTCGTTCATTAGCTACTTTTTACTGACACGTTTCGAAATAATTTATAAGAGGTGGCGTAGACGCGAGCCACATGGGCCAGGACGAAAATCCTTGTTTATTACCGAATTTAAATTTGATATCTAACATCTGTATGCGTGTGTCATCTTGGTCGTGAACATAAATAACGCGTTAACGAAGCAACCGAATGAGTGTAGCGGACATCAGGACCTCTTGTGTGTGTAATAACTGTAAGGGGGGATATCAATTAAACTGGTGGAATGCAATGAAGCCGTTTTCGAAATAAATGGACGACTTCGTTCGGGAAATAAACATGATTTTCGGTGAAAGATAAGTTGGTAGCAGTCTACCAATTATCATAAAACACGAAATAATTGGATATCATTTTCATTCGGATTAGATGTCTAAATATACACGACAATTGACAGAAATAGCAATAGGTACAAGTAACTATAAATCGTAATTTTAATTACCAATTTTTGGGGTTCTGTTAGTCAGTCAAATTTTGTTTTATGCCATTTCCAAATAAAATTATTTTAACGTTGATGAAAATCTGCACAAATTCATGTGTTTTTAAACATTTATTTAATTACTCAATTTACTTTTATATGTGAGCCACGTATTAAGTGCTGGTAGGTAGCGATTCACTGATGGAAACGATTTATTCGGTGACCACGGTGAGACTAATTAAAAGGAACAATGCATACCAACGAGTGGATTACGTGATGTCATTAAAACCAGATGCAACCGCGCACACTTTACATTCTGTCTCACAAAATTTAATAGTTATGTGAACGAGAGAAAAATAATACCCACAAATGGCACTATTTAAAGCGCACTGACCGGAAGGGGTGACGGAGGGGGGTGGGTGTAGGTACGCCTAATGGTCGCAGTTACCATTTTCATTTAATGAATTTAACGGCTGTCGGCAGTTTTATCAAAGAAATTGTCAACAAAACGTGATTCGAATACTCATTCGCAGATTTTGTCGCGTTTTGCTTTCGTTTGTTCGCCACGGTCGTCATTACTTTTAAAAGAAAAATCGAAGCATTTGGTCTTGCGTAAAAGGTAACAGAAAATATAAAAAGAATACAAACAAGCGAAAATTATTTTCATTTCAGTTGAGACGAATTTGTGCCCTGCTTAGGTTACAGTAATTTTAATACCAATATGAGTATGAGAATCAATACAAAAACGTGGTGCATTACGAGTATACACAATACAAAATCCTAAAATACAAAATGTAAACGTCATCTGTAGTACATTTAGTGGAATTGAAAAATGTTCAACGTTTCGCTATGTTGGTTACGTGGCCTAGCACGTGGGGGTAACGGTTGTTGAACATTTTTGAATTCTACAAAACGCTGTCGGTAAAGCAGCAGGTTGAGTGGGTCTGTGTTTTGTCGAAACTGCCTGACGCGCTGATGAGATCCAATGAAATCGAAATCATGATCTGACGTTCGTTAGTGTACATGAGAGCGTTGAGAGAAAACTAATAAATGGCAATAATTCAAATATTACACGTCAAATACTATCATTGGTTTTAAAACAGTATTAGGATTAGATATAGTTTATTTCGAATCACAATAAACGACATTTCTGTTGTTTTGTTCATGTATTTTGTTTCAACCAAATTATTGTAAATATTGTAACAATTTACGGAGAGTTCCTAAATCAAACAAATATTTTCAGAAAAGGTTTTCCTTATTGCGAGACTAGTACACAAGCCTTATAAGGCTATTATAGAACTTATTATATATGTTTCTATTTATTAAAATGATACATTTCACCGATACGTACACTTTTCCATTTATTTACATATTTTGGATTTTTTCCGATAATTATATATACAATAGTGTCTATCCAGTATATACGTGTTATCGACTACGAGCTGGTATTTGAATGATAGTGACGATAAATCATTGTTTCCGTAAATGTGCGCGAACATTTTTCGCTGTTCGGCTCGCACACTAACTGACAAATGTGGTGAACTTACCGTTGGCAGTCATATTATACAATGACTGGTGATGTCCCTTTTTGCGATAGAATTTAACGATGAAATATGATCCGAGCGACAGCAACAATATGACCACCGAGAGTACCACGTAGAGCACCACGTCCGCCTGGGTGTCCGCTAAATTTGCTGGAACAAAGAAGAAATTCAATCAGATAAAATTAATAATAGCATTTCCTACTACATTTGTTGGAATAAATCATTAAACTTGCTAAAATAACTATTAAGAAAATAAATAAATAAAAGTAAAAGCCAATTTCAAAAACTCGGAGACCTCGAATATTAGGCAAGTATTTTTAGGCGTATTGAAAACACCAGATACATCAGCAGCTACGGTTCTACGTTGTTCAAAAAAGTGATCTTTACTATTTCAATCAATTCTTTAGGTATTATCATTAGCATTATGATTTGTCATTAGTCGGTAATTAAAAAAAACAACAAACATTCGTAAATAATATATATTTATAACTAGCGACCCGCCCCAGCTTCGCAAGGGTGCAATGCTGATACTTAATATACTACTGAATGGCTTTTTTTTTTTATGTTTTGTGGAAGAGGGGAAATCTTCAGAAGACACCAGCCGTCCGTACGACTGGGTAGTGTGAATGTCTTTATATACAACATGACAATACAAACCGGCCCTCCCGGCCGGTACCGCCGCAACCGCATGTCCCTGCATTTTAAATCTGTAATATCTTCGAAAATATTCATTTAAATTACATGCTGTAAAGAGCCATATTGATGTATATTAAATGCACAATGTATTTTAAAGTACTTAATTGGATAAGGATTAATGCTGTATTGCTTAAAATCGCTTCGTAAATAAGCCATTATTTCTCATAAAAAGTAAAGGATAAAAATGGTTATTGTGGGTTATCCCTAAGAGATAGACATATACCATCGGGGACTTTTTTGTAGACCTTTTTAAGATGTACAATACTGTGGTACATTATTTTGATCTATCTCGTAGGGTTTAGCCAGCGTTTGCAATGTAAGCGCAAAAAAATGGTTATTTACGACATCACTTTAGAAACCTCTAAAATTATCAGTGTTTCTCTACTATATTATGCATGTATTATACATATAAACCTTCCTCTTGAATCACTCTATCTATTAAAAAAAACTGGATTAAAATCCGTTGGGTAGTTTTAAAGATCTAAGCATACATAGGGAGAGACAGCGGGAAGCGACTTTGTTTTATACTATATAGTGATGATGTAAATCCGTCAGAACAAAATAATTTTATGAATTTCTCGCTTCTCGATTATTTTTGGGCGAACTGAGCAATAATCAAATGATAACGGTAATGGGACGCGAGTTTTTAATAACTTGACTTTCGGACGTTTTCAACTATGTTACTGAGCAAAATAATGCTAATTCCTCGTTTGTCGAGGGTTAAAAACTGTTTGCTCTATAATTTCACGATTCATTTAGGACAAAAAGCTAACGAGGCATAATAAGCAACTCGTGTAACAATACCTAAATGAGCTCGATTCCAGCGTTATTATACGCAACGTATCGACATTATTCAATCATCGAATATTTATCCTTTATATTCTTATTTACAATTAGTTGTCGACCATGGTCGACCGTCAGATCTATCACTCACACCAAACTAAATCAAGCAATAGCCTTATAGGTATATGTATATTTGTAACATAGATATGTATATATAACGATAGTAAAACAGAAATTTGAAAACGGGCTCTACAAGAGTAAAGGGGGTTTAATGTTGACGTGTAGGCCGAGGGCAAGTGGTCCAGCAAAAGGGCTTTGCCTTGATGCTAATAGTTCTAAACTGTCGGCACAGAAAAGCGCCCGAATTACGTACGTAGATATACATGTATGTAGGTCCTCTTGAATAGAAATACGTAGAAGGGGTTGCGACGGGATGGGACGGCGAGACGTGAGGTCTTCAATCTGATGGTACAAGAGTAATTAATTTGGGTCAACATTTCGCGCGTAGACGCGGCGGACGTCCGAGAATTAATTTGGTTTAAGTGCCGCCCTTAAGTATCTGCATCATCAGCGGAAAAGCGTTTGCCTTATTAATTCTGCCGGTTTATGACGTGCGTGTATTAGACAGAGGTAGGGGTCATTAAAATTCCGACGGATTTACACCAGCAATTATTATCCTTAGCATACGTGAAAGACGTACCATCTTGTGGAGGTATCTATAACGGGTGAAAGATGGAGCCGTTTTGAAGAAATTAATTATGAAATTGTAAATTTTGGTAGTTATTGTTTACTCCAAGGGGTAGCCGGAAAAATGCAACCTAATTGACGCCTATATTATATTAAAAAAATCTCAATCCAACTAGGTTTCTGGGATTGTGATTTCCTTACAATTATTGAATACAAAATCTTTTAGATTGGGAGGGCATCATGCAATGATTTGATTTTAAAAGTATTCGAAATTGAAACGAATTTATTTAAATGAAGAATCATCTAACAAAATTATGACTTCTTTTTTTTTATATAATTAAGTACAATTTTTAAAATGTCATCTTTATCATAACAATTATAGGACATTATATAAAAAACGATTAATTTTCGTTTACTTTTGTTAATATACGCCTGAAGTAGGCAAATAATTGGCTATCTTCTTTATTATATTCAGACATAGATATGCATATGTATATTCCATCTTTATTCTGCAATGAACATCCTTGAAAGTTACAGTCATATCATGAAACCAACTGAATGGTTCACAAACACACTCATAACTATACTTAGAAACGTAGGTTATACATTCCACGTTGAATAGGGCGAAACGCTGTATCGTATTTCCGTTCCGGTCTACACCGAGTTCTATGTAAGTTCCGGTTCTTTGATACCTGTTCACAACCAGACGAAACTCGGCGCGAGGCTTTTCACGAATAACTCCAGATAAATGAAGAAAATTCAACATTAGTTGAGATTAAATGGATCCTAGTAGAATGGAGCACTTTGAATTCTCCGAATTGAAATGAGGAAGTACGTATATAAAGTTAGCTCTAACTGCATAACTTGTGCTCAGTATACCTAATAATAAACTAAAAGGAGGTTAATAAACGTTTTACTGCACCCACGGTTAAAAGCGTCATCATTTGAATTAATTTTTCATCGTTTGGTTTAATTTGCAAATTAATTTCTTGTTAACCAACGGAAACGGTGAGAGAGAAACATTTTATCTCCAATCTTTTTAAAGAAAATGAGTTTAAAAATTTTATTTTCTAAAAGGCGCTCACTTATTATACAAAAGAGCCTAAAGACAATGAGGAAGACTTATGAGGGTTGTTTGAATATGTTATTGTTTCCTGTAATTAACGCTTGGCATATTTGTTCCATTTACAATTTCAGTTAGCTATAATTTTTTGCATTTTTAATCCACAAAAAAATTTGTGTTTGATCTGCCGAATGGTTCTAAATTTGATCCGAAGTACTTAATACTGATAATAATAAGTTCATTTATATATGTTTACAATTTCTTCATCATAGGGAATCCTTGGTCCATGCTACACTTCTTAGACAGCACCAGAAAAAAAATACTTGTTTTTTGTGCAGGATCATTTCGCTGTACCTACATTTGTTGTAAAGTTTGAAAATTCAAAGTATTTTCTTTTGTGTTATTTGCCAATTCCACCTTTTTTGCCTTCAGCTTTGAAACTGTAAATAAAATTTCCCGTAACGTTAGCGATAATGGAGTTCCTGCCTCGAAACAGTCAATTTCACATTTCATAAAGTTCGTTTGCTAGAGAATCCCACCGTTGCTGCAGGCGCTGTTCTACATTATCTCGCCGGGCGTCTTCAACGTCGTCCCTGCCGATGTCATCGACGTAGTTGTCGTCAATTGCTCGCGACACTCGAACTGTTTCGACTCGTTGTGAAAAAGTAAAAATCGCCCGAGGGGATGAAATTTCCGGTGCAAAGCCACCGCGTCGTTCCTCGTTTGTTGACATATAAATATCCCAATTGAATTTCGGAGCCACATTCGGAGGCGAAAATCGACATTTTGACTTTTTTTTGCGTTTGTATAACGCTGCTATATATATATTTGCCCTTTTGCTAAACCCAAAGATGGTCTTATGCAGTCAGTTGAATGAGTATTACAGATAGTACAGAACAGTCGATTTTTATCGCTTTGTTCTCTAGAAAAGACAATGATGGATAAAATAAATGAGCAATTTCAAAGTGAAATAACTCAATAGTTTCTAATCATATCTCACCTCAAATAATACTAAATTTTCTCTTTGACGTGTAATTGGTATAACCACTGTGTGATGGCGCGGTTGTCAATTGGTGAGCTTTTGGCTTGGCTCTTTTTTGTCTGACATGATGGGGCTGACTAACTTTTTCTTCGGTCACATTGTCCAATATTTTCAAGTCATTGGACGAAGGGTTGTGTATATTATTTGACTTGGACTTTTAATCTTACAGTCTGTTATTTGGCATTCCCTTATTTACATTCAATTATTTATAATAACACATCAAGAAGGGCATTGTTTTGATCGATTCGATATGAAATTTTTTTTGTAGCTAATGAGTTATTTGACTCTAAAATCACCCATATATTCTTTATATTCACATTCGTTTAGATAACCTTCTGGAGAATTTCATAGTAGGCAATCAGTAATCAGAAAGATATTCTTTATGAATATTCAAACAATTCATTTTTTTGAGTCCCTGAGATAATTGCAGAGTTTAAAGACACCCTGTATATTGATTTGTAATTAATATTTAAAGGGGAATATCTCAGCTTCGAAGAGAAGGGACTTAGTATTCGTAAGTGGTCTATCACTGGGACATTTGTCTAAAAAGTCACGTAACGTACATTTCCGAAATTAAGTATTCAATTCCAATAGCCATTAAGCCACCCTCGGGCAGTATCGTTTCCATCTCTCTCTTACTCCGTCGTATGCGAAACCGTTTACCGTCTCTCTTCGTTCGTAATTAGTTCAAACCGAAATCTTGGACGTTACGAATTTGCTGCTCGGATTTGATTAAATAAACATGGCAACCTTGTTGTACGGATTCGGTCCCAAAAAACCGCAGCACGACTTTCATTACGTTTTTATTTTAATTTCGGCCAAGATTTCTCATTCGAATGCAAGGGTTGTCGAAGGAAACAATGGAACGGAGGAGGCGACCGGATGTTAGAAACGGTCCCGTATCCACTAAATTGTGAGCAACAACTTGCCAAGTGGGAGGAGATGAGAGGATAGATGAAAAGGACAGACTTTTATTTAAATTGGAAGTTAGCGTAGCTTTCGTGCTTTTAGAAAGATCTGGGATCGTTATTGTAATGCGAAATTCTCTATTTTTACGGTTAGGTAGGTTTTTATTACGTAATTAGTAGGAGATGCTAATTAACGAAGCATATTTTAAACCACAATCGTCTACCCTTACTATCACTGAAATGATGACAGTTCACATAATCTTTAAAAATAGAAAGAGTGATGTACCTATAGAATAATTATATTTCGTCCTCGTTCGTAAATAAGAACAAGCGTAGTTTCCCTATCTCACACCGCACACCACGAATTTTTAAAGTAAACAACCCGCGTGCTACCCCGCTTAACCCGTACCTTCGTTGGTCTAGTACCTACCTCATCCAGCTCATTCCTAGTTTTCGTGCCGTACATTACGTAAGTGCCGCGTTAAATTCACGTTTGGTGTTGTATAGTGTATTTTGTTTGGTTTTAATCATGTCGAATAGGAAAAGATGTTACAGTTCTGATTCCGATAGTGATGATTTTATTAAGTGGAAAATTTCCAAATTACAAAAGCGCTTGGCGACTAAGTCTAAATCAAAAGGCAAGAGATCCATCTCTCCATCTCCCTCGATCCAGTCGGGATCGACATCGTACCAAGACCAGGATGGTTTTGTTTCTCCGGTGTTGCCGGATGAAGACGACGTCCCTTTATCTGTTCTCGCAGCCAGTATTAACGCAGACTCAAACGATCTTGGTACAAACACTTTCAGAGGTACATAAATCCTAATTAGCTTCTGTTTTTGGGGTTAAAGAAATAAGTTGGTAAAATATTATGGTATATTTTACATAACTCACTATTATCTGTCTTTACATGGTAATGACATGATCAATTTGTAAAATATTATGGCATATTTTACATGTCTTAATCGACATAGCTTAAATGGCAGTTAAATATTGTAAAATATTATGGTATATTTTACATAACTCACTATTATCTGTCTTTACATGGTAATGACATGATCAATTTGTAAAATATTATGGCATATTTTACATGTCTTAATCGACATAGCTTAAATGGCAGTTAAATATTGTAAAATATTATGGTATATTTTACATAATTTGTCGTTTTTAGGTTCTGAAATATTATGGAGTATTTCAGACCTACATACAAAAATGAGGCTATTTATGGCAATAGCTTTTCTGTTAATTACTGGTCCTTTTCTTATAGAAGAGAGGACTTCAACCCTAGATCCCAATATCTTAGCCCTTCTGGGAATTGATAAACCAGCTGGGGAATCACTAGGGCCAGACATTCATGTTGACTTGGCTAGTAGGTGGTCCCTTGTTCTTAGCAACGGTCTAAGCGAGGATTCTGTAAATACTTTATTAAAGAAATATCCACCTGCTGGTAACTGTCCCCTTTTAAAAGGCCCTCGTTTAAATCCGGAGATCGCCGCTGTTGTTAATGAGCAGGTCTCTCGAAGAGACTCTAATTTTAATAATCTTCAAAATCAGATTGGTGCTGCCCTTTCTGCATTGGGACAGCTAACGACAGCCCTGGTCTCAGAAGAGGGGGGGGCTAAGCTTTCTTATGTTGAATTGGCCAGTGATGCGAGCAGATTGCTGTTAGATTTTCATCACAAATACTCCGTCATCCGCAGAGATTTTCTGATGTTAAATCTCCGAAGAGATTCGAATCTAAAGGAAACTCTCATTGGAGCGCCTGCCGACACATGGTTATTTGGCAAAAATCTGAGCGAGCGAATTAAAGCCTCCAAAGATATAGAGAAGACGGGTTTAGACTTGAAACCCACTAAGGCGGCTAAATCTAATATCACTTTTAAACAGCCTTCTAGACAGTTTCCGGTAAACTCTTACCGTCCACCTCTTCGAGTACAAAGGGGGGCAAGTCGGGGTGGACGGCAAAGCAAGTTACAAATTCCCTCTCAGCCGTTTCAAACAAGACCGTACCCTCCTCAAAGAAAGACAACGGACCAAGATCGTCGTCGTCGACAGGAAGTTCGTCCCAATCACAGACGAACACGCTAGACTGTATTGAGGTGGGTAGTTTGGTAGGCCGGTTGCGTAAATTTTTACCAGTCTGGGAAAAAATTACGGAAGATAAAACGATTCTATCTTGGATCTCGGGACTAGAGATCCCCTTTATTGTTAAACCCAAACAGAAGGCGCGGCCCTTGGAAAGACATTGGTCACATTCGGAAAGAGTTGTTTTAAGGGAATCAGTTCTAGAGCTACTAGCTTCTGGTGCTATTAGTAAGGTAAAACATTGTACAGGGGAATACATCTCAAATATCTTTTTAGTACCTAAACCTGACGGCTCTAAACGTCTTATTTTAAATTTAAAGTCTCTTAATAAATATATTAGAGCAGAACATTTTAAACTGGAGGATCGGAGAACAGTATGTACTATCATGCAGAAAAATTTTTTCATGTCCACTCTGGATCTTAAAAATGCATACTATTTAGTTGCCATTGACAAAAAATATAAAAAATTCTTAAGATTTACGTTTGATGGTGATTTATTTGAATATAACTGCATGCCTTTTGGACTTAACTGCGCCCCGTTTATTTTCACTAAATTGATGAAACCTGTTCTTTCCTTCCTGAGAGGAAAAGGATTACTTTCAGTGTTATATCTAGATGATTTTTTGCTGTTGGGAAGAACTTTTGACGAATGCAAAATTAATGTATCAATAACTATGGCAACTCTTAAGGATTTGGGATTTGTTATAAATTATCAGAAAAGTATGCTAACGCCTTCTCAAACATGCCGTTATTTAGGGTTTAATTATGATTCCAGAAATATGTCTATTTTTATACCGGAAGACAAAAAACCTCAACTTCGAAAACAGGTAAAATTTCTTCTGAGGACTAGCCGTTGCAAAATTCGATTATTTGCTCAAATAATTGGTAAATTATTTTCTGTTTGTCCAGCAGTTCGCTATGGATGGGTTTATTCCAAATTACTAGAAAGAGAGAAATTTTTGGCATTGAAGCGATCGAGCGGAAATTATGATAAAAGTATGGTCGTTCCTTCCTTTTTATATAACGATCTCAGATGGTGGTTATCGCACATAGAAAATAGTTCAAATTCTATTAAACTAGATGTTTTCCATCTAGAAATTTTTTCGGATGCGTCCTTAACAGGTTGGGGTGTATACTGTGTTAACGTCAGGTCTCATGGGTTTTGGTCCTTAGAGGAGAAAAAGGAACACATAAATTATTTAGAATTAAAGGCAGCGTTTTTTGGGTTAAAATGCTGTGCTAGTAACCTTAATAATAAAAATATTCTTTTGCGAATTGATAACACTACGGCTATTTCTTATATAAATAGAATGGGGGGTATCCAATATCCTAAACTGAACACTCTTTGTCGAGAAATTTGGCAGTGGTGTGAGGGAAAAAATCTCTCCATTTTTGCTTCTTACATTAATACTAAACACAACCTGATCGCAGACACTGAATCACGTAAGTTACATTTTGAAACTGAATGGGAGTTAAACAATAAATATTACCAACAAATAAAATTGAAAATTGGATTACCTCAGATAGACCTTTTTGCAACTCGGATTAATGCTAAATGTCCAGTATTCGTTTCCTGGCATCCTGACCCATATGCGTTTAGAGTAGATGCCTTTACTCTTAATTGGAGAGATTTTCAATTTTACGCCTTTCCTCCTTTTTCAATAATTTTGAAAGTAGTACAAAAAATTATTAGTGACAGGGCTGAAGGTATTGTAGTGGTACCTTATTGGCCTACACAGCCCTGGTACCCCATCTTTACATCGCTTTTGAAGATGCCTCCCCTTTATTTCCAAGCGAGCAAAGACTTACTTTTTGGTTTGAACAGGTCTCAGCCGCATCCGTTATGGTCACAGCTTATCCTGGTTGCAGGGCTCTTATCCGGAAAAGCCTAGAATTAAGAGGAACCCCTAAAACAGCGATCGAGGTCTGTTTAGCGTCCATTACTTCGTCTACTATCAAGCAATATAACACAGGTTTAAAGCTGTGGTATAGATACTGTCAATCAAGGAACGAGAGTTGCTTTACTGCATCAACTCCAAACGTCCTAGAATTTTTGCAAGAACAGTATAATAGGGGTGTATCTTATGGTACACTCAACTGCTATAGGTCTGCCGTAGCCCAGCTTTTAGGACCCTCACTTGCTGAAGACGTCCGAGTAAAACGTTTCTTTAAGGGGGTTTTTCATTTAAAACCCAGTCTACCTAAGTACGACAATACCTGGGATCCTTCACTTGTATTAAATTATTTAAGAAGTCAAATTAACGAAAACATATCTTTAGAACAGCTTTCTTATAAATTAGCCATGTTATTAGCTCTTGTTTCGGCGCAGAGAGTCCAGACACTTTCACTTATTGAACTTAAGGATATAAAAATTTCCTCCCTTGGAGTACAAATTTTTATTCGTGATCTTATTAAAACGTCGGCTCCAAATCGAACACAGCCTATTATTTCATTACCGTTTTATAAAGACGAAGAGGCCGTTTGTGTTGCTACTACTCTCTTATTTTACATAAATTCAACAAGAGCCATAAGAAACTCGGCCTGTAATAAACTTTTAGTAACGTTTAAAAAACCCTACCATAATGCTTCAACACAGACAATTTCACGATGGATTCGAAAAGTTATGGTTATGGCCGGAATTGAATCTACGGTATATTCTTCGCACTCTACGCGACATGCATCAACGTCCTTAGCAGATCGTAAAGGCATATCATTAGATACAATTAGATTAGCGGCTGGCTGGACAGAACATTCAAAGACCTTTGCCGCCTTTTATAAGAGACCTGTTTGTGACTCTTATGCGTTTGCAAGAGCCATATTACAATGACACAACTATGTGTTTATTATGTTATAAACCTTAATATTAATTTCTTAATGCTCTACTGTTAGATGTTCTTAGTTTAATAATGTTCTGTTTTTCGTTTACTTTTGTTTCATGTTTCATATTACTCAGATTTAACGTTTTCTTTTTTATCTTACAGTGTATAAACATCTGAATATAACTATATATATATATTTTTTTCTTTTTCCTTGGATTGTTCGTCTGCAGTTGAACAATTATTTATCTTTAAACATCTACGCTTGTTCTTATTTACGAACGAGGACGAAATATAATTACTAAATCAAACGAACTTACCTGTAATGAAGTTCGATTGTAATTATATGAAGTCCTCGTNTTCAATCCTTCCACTAAAACGTCATAGGTACCTAGTAGGTAGACACTAATCCTTTAATTTAATATTATTATTCTGATAATTTCCAATTTCCTTATTTTTTTGTTTATTAAATTTAAATTTCATCATTAGTTTATCTACTTACAAATAACTTTAGCAGCAGTAGAATAGGATTCTACAATATTTAACTTATTCTAATGCTATTTCCTTCAAACATTAGCCTGCAATTGTATACATATAATCAATTCTACTTTTAGTAAAAAATACCTAGTTGAGTTACGAAAACTTATAGTAACTTATTGCATGGTATACTTATAGTACATAGATACACTTTTCTTTAGTAAGAACCATAAAGAAAGTCGTATGTTTAGAAATCAAACTGGCAACGTTGCCGTCATACTTATGGCAATAACAGCATATGGCGGTTGCGAGGTTTGTTATCTTATACTCTTATTGCACAAATACACGTACGTACATACACACGTATTAAAACGTGCAGCCGCGCTATTTTTTCGCGCTCTTAACGGCAGCAGCGCAGCAGCGTCGGCCTAGAGTGAGTACACGTACACGTCCACTTGGTATAAACCAGTCAACGAGTTTTATTGCGGAAACAAGTTTTACCATCCAGTACAAACTTCACGTCATCCATTATTATTATTAAACGCATTTTTTTGTCGTATTTACTCATCGAAAGCACATAAATATGCACTCATGTGTAACTGTACACTTTCTGGCAAGTAAATATGCATAAAACTAAATAATAAATCATTTTGAAGAACGGTGTTGTCCGTTTAATGTTTTTTCAATGCAAGTAGGTATTTCTACCTGTCTAACGGACAAATAAATACCTACCTAAACCTTTTCATCTCAAATTATTACCTATTACCTTACGATAAAATACAATACCCAAATTAAGAATAATTTGAATGTTACGAATTACTCAACAATTGAAATAATTCAAAATTAGAATCGAATTCGACTCACAACGAATTTTATCACTAGAAATTTTCGAGTAATCGAAAACGGTTTTTTATTTTTAATTTAACGATGCTTCTATTTTTAGCGAAACGAAGAGTAAATAAAACATTAAAAAAGAAATAAACAAGAAAGCGAACAAGTAAATGACTCACCGTAATGGGCAGGTGCTGTTGCTGACGATTATTATGGTGGTGGTGGTGTTGTTGTGCCTGGAGCACGGCGGTAGATCGTGACCTTCGGGGGGTGATACCCACGTTCTCGCCTCGCATTATAGACTCCACCACTGTAAACAAAAGGCCTAAAGGAACAAAAGCAAGCACTCGCTCATAACCGGGGCGTTTTATTGCTTTCAAAACAGCACAACACCATGCTAAATAGAAAAGTTCGAACAATCTGGCATAGCTCCGTATTTGGAGGGTTAATGAGGCTGGAAGGGTGGAGGGACCGACACATTACGTAACAGAACCCCGTAAATTGCGATCATCCTATATATTTTGTTATTTGATCAAACTAGACCTATAGAAACGTATGTCCATTGCTTACTGTTGGGCAATCATCCTCGGTTTCAAACCATCTACATATTTGAAAATGAATACAATTATTTTGTCCACCCTGTACTTTTTTTTACGAGAATTTATTAAAGAAAAAATGTACCTACCCAGAAAGAGATCTGGGTCATGCGACAAAAGAAACGAGCAAGCAATTTGATGGATAGAACGTCTCATGTATAAAGCTGAAGACGACCGGAGAAATACAGCAGCAAAAGCCCCCTCGGCCTCCTCTACACCCCCCGACCTATTCCATTTCTACCGATATATCGGGAGGGCCTCTGCAACCAGAAATACGGAAGAAACGTGAGAAATGAGCACCTGCTAGCGGCCAAGTGCATTGACTCTCGGAGATACGGACAGAAGGTGTTGTGAAAGAGAGACGGAAATAGGGCAAGAAATTAATAGAAAGAGAGGGGGAGTTGACAGACAGTTCAGCTGCAGTCATTTCAATTCAATATACCGGATATTACTTCATAAAACATTCGTAAACTTGATTGATTGATAGGTACCATGACTGCAACAACAACTAATAAAAAAAGGGCAACGCGTAATCCGGAGAGGTCCCTCGTCGATTAAAAAAAATGATACAACCTTTCCTTTAAAAAAATATGCATTGAAAATGTATTGTAAAAGAAAAAAAAAAAACAACCTTCCCTAAATAATGAATAAAGTTGAAACCATACACGTAAAAATAAGAGACCAAAAAGTTTAAAAAGAAATAAGGAAAATAAAATTGATCAAATAATTGATTTATAGTTCATTTAATTTATTTTTTGGTAGAGACATCCCTTTTTACATAATTTATTATGGAGTACCTAAGTAAATTTTTATTCATTCTGCAAAAATATGTGTTCCTATGCAGGTAGGTACCTTCTTGTCGCTTAAATATGGAGTTAAAAGACCAAAGGACTGACACTTACCCCCATCTCCTATGAGACGCATTTGTACGAGGGTTGGGTCGACATTGTGCTCTTCGAGCACTGTGTCGTCTGTCACTGTCAGGTCCTGAAATAAAAAAAAAATGTAAGCTGCTGTCTGCATGCTGGTATTCTATACAGGTAAGGCAAAACTTACACACACACCGAACATTGGGATCCGTCAAATGGGAGAAGCCTAAAAACATGGCGCTGATTAGGGAAAATTTATCGTAGTTCCTATAGTGTACCGTGCAATTTCCAAGTTTTTAAATTATGATAAAATGATAAGTATTGACACAATATGTGATTGGGCTGACACAAAGCCTCGCAAAGGAAATTTCGTTGAAGGTGAGCGTGTTTTTAATGCCAATCACATTATAAAATTCGGAAATAACAAATCCGGAAGCTAGCCTTCAAATTCCATCAAGTTTACTGCCTACTATTTACAAATTTCGGATTTAAAAAGTGATTCACGTTATATAATTGGTGAGGTGATTCTGGGTGATTTAAGCAATATCATATCAATGACTTGCACGTGCAAAGCCGATTTAAGAGAACGTTGCAAACACATTATTGCAACTTTGTTGTATTGCAGCAGGTAGGTTCTTAACCTCAAAATACTTATATCGTATCATTAGAATTGTGTTAAATCAATTACACAGGAATAAATAATTTCTCACTTTATAATTTTAGTATGATTCTAGTTTTAAATATTAAGGTTATGGCTGATGGTAAATACTTGCTGAAATATAATCATGTGCATTAAAATGACGTGAACAAATTTTTATTCCGGAATTCACTTCTTTGATACCTACTGCTTTCATCCAAGCTTCTATTAGTTTACTTTTTTCTCTAATTTTCCGAATATATCTTTTACATATATAAAACGGTCAGTTTTTATTGGAAAGTAGTTAATGTAGGTGAAGAGTGAAGATCTATGTCTGAAGTGCTATTCACAGCTTTTCACTGAACATAATAACTTTTTATTTGATTTAACTTTAGAAGAAAACTTCGTCGACTCCATCATCAAAAATTTTTGTACTTTTTTAAAGTGTTTTATGATTTTAATAAACAATTTTACAATTTGCGTGCACAGTTCCTATGTAAATTTTTCCCTCATTCGAGTTATAAATTTTGCCACCAGATGGTGTATGCCCATTTGACGGATCCCAATACAGGTAAGGCAAATTATATACATACACCGAACATAGCTTTATATGACATAGAGGATGGAGAAAATAAGTTAGAGGCAAGATATTACTGTAAAATAGTGTCAGAGGTGTTTGTCAAGGAATAAACTAGGAGTAATTATCATTGAGCTCACAGCGAAGGAAGAGAGTGTGTAAATACTTTGAAGATGTGTTAGATAACCATGTCTAGTAATAGAAATCAGAACAATTTTAAACGATAAGAAGTCAAAGTGGGGTCTGAACGTGCGGGAAGTATTACAGGAGATAGAAGCAACGGAAGCGATAGCTAATTGTACATATAAAATAATTTATACAGGGACTTCTGCAAAAGGTTATAGTGAATGGGTTTGTAGATTATGTGAAGTAAGATAAGAGACATTTGCCCACTTGTTATGTCACAAAGTTGCTATAGGGATACAAAAATATAAGATAAGAAGATTCATGAATACATGGAGGAATGTCAATACAAAAACGTTTGAGTTCTTTAAAGAGATAGAGGCAACGGTACAAGAGAGAAAGCAGGTCTAAATACAAGGTTTAAATTTAAAAGTAGATGGAACAGAGGAGGAAACTGAGATCTTAGTTGGAGTTTGCAGTTTTACAAGAATTTTTAGTTAAAAAGCATTTACCTATGGTAAAAAGAGCAATTTGCAAAAACCTGTAAGACATGCTGAGCGTAGAAGTTATACAAAAGCGGGCTGAAAAGTTCGTAGGTTGACCCACATATGGCTCTACTAGTATCAAATCCATATGATTTTTAGTTAGCCCTAACCTTCAAAAGACACGTGTATAAATTTGACAGCTGTTGCAATATTAGTATCTGAGTTATAGCATTTTTAGTGAAAGAACTTTTGTTGTTTGAAAAAGAAAGTGCTAATTCATCAAGACAATGCACCGTATCACAAATCAATGAAATCGATGGCAAAACTCCATGAATTGGGCTTCGAATTGTTTCCGCATCCACCGTACTCTCCAGGTCTGGCCCCCACCGACCTTTTTCTGTTCTCAGACCTCAAGAAAATGCTCGTTGGACAGAAATTTCGTGCCGATGAAGAGGTAATCGCCGAAACTGAAGCCCATTTTTAGACTAAAGACAAGTCGTATTATAAAAATGGTATCGAAAAATTGTATGACCGCTATAATCGTTGTATCGCCCTCGAAGGGTACTATGTATATTAAACAATAAAATCAAATTCTATCAAAAAAAAATTTCTATGCTACCCTACGAACTTTTCAGCCCGCCTGTTACATTCTTTTATTGGAATTCTTCTTTTTACGTAGCATTAGCGAAAATGCACAATTTGGAATACATTTCTCAACCATGTGGTCACGTCTATCTGAAAAAACTACCTGCTCCACTGAAAACTGTCCTAAACCATCCGGACTGCCTGTCAAAATCTTTTTTCTTGTCCCCAGCAGCTTATTGCACTTGTTAGACTTATGTTACGTTGTTATTTACGTGGAGAAGATGCATAACAGAATATCCTTATGTTTAGTTAGAAGCCCGTTTCAACCACATTTTTAAAATTCATTATAAAAGCACTTCCTGTTATCTTAGTCATCATCATCATAAGGTCGTCAGTTCTATGACTGGTTGGACACATACCTCCACTCTTTCCTATCCTGAGCTAATCTTCGCATTTCCCGAAAACTAGAACATCCCACATCCTCAACTATTTGCGAACAATAATCTAACCTAGGTCTACCGCTACTCCTTCTAACATCTGTTTTTGCCTCTAATATGTCTCTGATTAGACCTTCATGCCTGAGAAGGTGTCCTACCAACTTATTTCGCCTATTTTTTATTCAATTCCTCTGTTCTCCTATTCTTTCTAATACCTATTCATTTCTAACATTCTCTATCCTCATCACTCGCCGGTAACACCACATTTCGAACGCTTCTAACCTCTTCTTTTCCACCGCGCCCACTGCCCATGTTTCGCACCCGTAGAACGCCGCACTCCAAACTTACACCTTTAACAACCTATTTCGAATTTCTAAATTAACCGTTCGCGAGCATAGTGACTTCGTTTTCTTGATGGCGACACGACCCTGCGCTATCCTCTGCTTTATATCCCTGCTACTCCTTCCATCCTGAGTTATCTGACTTCCTAGGTATCTAAAATCAGCCACTTTTTCTAATTTTTGGTCTCCTATCTTTATATTCGCTCTTTCCCTACTTTTTCTTCCCTTGCAAACCAGTATTTTAGTTTTACTTTTATTTATTTTCATACAGTACTGATCTGTCAGTACCGCTTCCATTTTATTTAAAGCTATCTCTAGATCCTCCTTGCTAGATGCTAATACTGCTATATCATCTGCAAATCTAAGCATACTAATCTTTTGCCCTTGCACGTC